GTCAGAGCCACTGCTTCTCGGGTGGCACAAGTGTTACCGGAGACAGGCTCTCCTCAGCATGATGTCCAGGTTCTTGACATCTCCAGCAAAGAACTGAATGAGATACAGAGGTCAAGTAGTGGGAAAGCAGTTTATTAAAGAAAAAGTATATCCAAAGAATTTGGAGTGGGCTGAGCAAAAAAAGGCGATCAAAAGGCACTGACTGTCCAGGACTTGGAGTTTTTATCCCTTTTTTTCTCTAGAATGAGCTGTTCCTCTTTGGGCGTGAGACCACTTGATTGACACTTGTGATTGACAAGAGGCTATTATCTCATCTTTTTAGACCATTCATGTTCTTTTCCAGACTTCAGTCTGTTTATACCTGGGGCTTCTGGGGCTAGTTATGCTAATTAGTTATGCTAATTATACCCAGATGGCCTGGAGAAGCAGACAGTGGGAATGGCCAGGAAAGGGGGTTTGCCTTGGGAAAGGAAGTCATAGGTCCTTTCAGCAAGGATTACCAGACCCTGTTCTTGAGCTCCTTTTGTATAGAAAAAACTGAAAATTCGACATGCTCAACTATAACCAAGATTCAAGTCTCAAGTGTCCCAAAATGAAGGCTTTTGGGTTCTGCCAACTTGGTGAGGCATTGGCCAAATAAAAAACTAATCGACTACTTTACTCAAAGGATATTCTGGGGCTGCCATTTTATACCTTCTGCAGATGTCTAGCCAACTGTGGTAAATGTTAAGTGGAAAAGAAAGTGACAACTGTGGCGACATCTGCCTAGCAAAACAGGTGGAAAAAACCTTAATATAGACAGTGAGCAATTTGAATGGTAAGAAATTGGGTGAACTGTTTTCTTTCTATTTATTTTGTAGATTTTCACCAATAAGAAAACATTACTTTGGGGACAAAATCCACAACCATCTATTGTTTTATGAAAATAAATTTTATTTCATCTTCTCAGCATTAAAAACTATGTTTCCCTCAATTGTTATTACAGTTGACCCTTGAACATGAGTTTAAATTGCACTGGTCCTTATATGTGGATATTTTTCAATAAGTACTGTAATGTGTTTTCTTTTCTTTATGATTTTCTTAATAACATTTTCTTTTCCCTAGCTCACTTTATTGTGAGAATATAGTATATAATACATATAACATACAAAATATGTGTTAATTGACTGCTTGTGTTATTGATAAGGCTTCCAGTCAACAGCAGGATATTAGTAATATTTTGGGGGAGTCAATAAGAACATGTAGAGTTTTGGCTGTAAGCAGGGTCAGCACCACTAACCCTCGCCTTAGTCAGGGGTCAACTATATAGCCGTTTTCATTCAATTATTGCTCAACTTAAAGGCTCAAACAACTATTGGCAATAACTAAACATAGATTTTAATAAAGTCTGCCTCGGGAAGACAACCCAGGGATTGGGGGTGCACAGTGCTCAGGAGCAATGGAGCACTGTTCCCAAGTGATGTTTCAGGAAGAGTGAGTTTTATAGAGCCTGAAAGAGGCAACTATGGAAACGGCAGGACTGCCTGGGAGGTTTGGTGGATTTTCTTATAATGCCAGCAGGTCAGTCAGGGAAAAAGAAGAGTATTTGGCTTAAGATGATTGGCTGGCTGCATATTCTACTTTATTTAGAACAAGGAAATTATTACAGATTCTTGACAGTTGGCAGTGGGATATATGGGCTGGATATACTACGTTTCTGGTCCAATGCACCATTTACAGGACAGGACTCTTATCTAAGTTTCAGTTTGCTGACCTGGCACCCCAGGCAGGAGCAGCTCCATCTTGGGCCTAGAAATTTATTTCAACAGGTGACATTTGTTTTCCTCTCCTCTGCTTCTCATCCGAATGTGGTGTGTCTGTGCTCTTCTCTAAGTAGCACTGAACAGTTATGTTCGTCTAAAAGAGACACACAGTCAAAAAAATAATAATAAGGAAAAACTCTTGGGCAGGGCAAAGTCAAAGGGTAGCCAAGGTGTTTCCTTTCAGCCCTCATGTGAGGTTTGCAAGGTTCTGATCCAGGTGTCACTAGAGGAAGCAGCTCTTCCTCTAATCCCCTGTCATTACGCTGCTGCCACAAATGAAACCGCTCTGATGAAACCAGACTCAGCTAGACTGGGAGGCGTGGGTGGGTGAGAGCGGATCAGACTCGGGCATATGGGTGTGTAAAGATCCAATTTCTGAAGTCTGGACCTTTTTAATTGAACTTCTGGGACTCTGGCATACCTTATCAAACCTGGAGCAGCACGATTCTGGCCATCATAGAATCTGAGAACTAGTCTAACCTGACTTATTCATTTTAGCCACATGGAATAAACTGGATGTACACATGATGACAATTATTAGTGAAATGGACAAGCCTAGAAAACCAAAAAGGGGAAAGCTATAAATATTCACTTGATGAAATGACTGTGGATAAAATTTTCTTGCTTTTATATCCAATGTATGTCTTTATAACACTAATTGTTGAATAAATATTTTTTCTAAAAAATCATTTCTCTTTTATTAGAATTACTAACCCCATTTTAAAACCCAATTCATATGTAGCATATTACATTTTCACACTTTGCTAATGATTCACAGAAACTTAAAATCTTAAAGATCAAAGGGGAACCCTTTCTTCTAGAAGCCTCATTGTTTCTCATTTTTAAGATGAAAAGACAGCCCCCAGAACACAGATGACATTAACATTCCAGGACCATGAGCAGCTGAGGCCGGATTAGAACACCCATGCCCTCCTCTCTAGTGTGTGTACCTTACATGGGGTGAACCTGTCATTTCAAATTGGACAACTACATCCAGGGCACCCACTACATGTCAGGCACGGGGCTAGTCCGTTTCACAAACATTAACCTCATTTTTATAACCCTTGAAAACAATAAAAGACTATGAGCCACACACTAGTAATCTCAGTCAACAGGTGATGGAAGTCAAGCTATTGGGCATTCCTCATAGAGGACTCCTTTAAAAAGATGAGCAAGCCCAAGATTTATCGGGTTTAAGGGTACTTCTTATTTTAACATTTTGCCACATTTTTTACATTTTCAGGAAGAAACTCTTGAAGACGTAGTTGAAGGTCTTCGGTATACCTTCCCAAGCCTGTCTTTCCTCTTCTCTCTCCATCATGTACAATAACAACAAAACATACAAGATACTTAGTGTCATATGACGAAACTAAAACATTTTAGTAATGAGTTTTAAGTTCTTCATTCAAAGGCAGACAATCCAGTGATTGGGGGAGTACACACCTGACAGCAGTGGAGCACTTTTCCCGGGGATTTGGGGCAAGAGTGAGTTTTACAGAGCATTAGAAGAGGCAGTGCGAGAACAGCGCAGGGGAGGGTGAGGTTGCAGAGCTGACTTTTTTTAGAAAGATCAAGGAACAAGGAAATAAGTTTGGAGCGCCTAGTAGACTTGGCATTTGGGGATTGCCGACTGAATATCCTGCGTTACTGGTGATGCTGAGCATTTATAGGACAACAGAAGCTCAGTTTGCTGATGTGGCACCCTGGGCGGGGGTGGCTCCCTCTTGGCCTTAGAAGTTTATTTCAACGCTAAGACTGGTTCTAACAACAACAACAACAACAAATATATAGATATATGATCTTTTAAGGGGAAATCATACAAGTTTACTAAGAAACATAAAATAAAATCTGAATAAATAAGAAGGTTCACCATATACATGAAGAGACAGGTTTGAAATGGTAAAGCTACTATGGTGGAACACTTAAAGCTTTCTGTTTGAGATTGCGATTATGATAAGGATGCCAGTTATCTTTACTTTCATTAAACATTGTACTGGCTGTCTTAGCCTATATATTAAAAATAAGAAAAGTAAAAGTTAGAAGGATTAGAAAGAAAGAAAGAAAGCTGCCTTTAATTATAGAGTCTATGATTGTATATACATAAATTAGATAAGAATCAATGGATTAAGTTAGAATTAGTAAGAGTTGGACAAGATGGCAGGACGCAGCACACATATACCCTCACACAATCAATTGCATTTCTCTATACTAGTTACAAATGAGATTTCAAAACATAAAATTTAAAATTGTTACAAACTTATTTTCCTTGATAGCCATGGCCGATCCCCACAACATGGCCAGTCCCACACCCACATCCCCACCCCCATTCAGTTTCCTCTTTATCTGGATTGATTTTATATCTTTCAACACAGCCCAATATGGAGCCACAACGTTTCCCTATATAACTTCTCAATTTAAATATATACTATAGTCTGATTGTTCATACAAAGTTTCCCTTAATTTTAATTATTGAGAAAAAAAATAATCTGTTAAGATTCATTTGAGTTTAGGACTTGGCTGCGTCGATGTTGGCGGTAGGGATGGAAAGGAGTTTTGGCTTCTTGTTTAAGACAGAACAGTTCTGACTATGGGCTGAGCTGCAAAACATGGTGTACCTGTGGAATACAATGGTTGGTATATACAACAATCACCTTTTTCCTACACTTTTACTGTATGGACAGTGCCGTGGTTGGTTATGGTGAGGGAGGTACCAGTTTGTCTAAAAGATCAATCAGATCGGGAACTTCATGGAGCCCAGACTTTTCATTCCATCGATGCTCATACTCCTGAGTAATGAATAAGCTCCACCCCCAGCCATTTTCTCTGGATAACGATTGGATAAATGATTCAGTGCTACTATAGCCTTCCCATTTTGCTCTCCTAAACGTCTTCTAGAATAGATCAATTCCAGGTGACCTTGTAGGAAGCAAATTGAATGGATTCCACCAGGTCCTGGGAGAATTGCAAGAATATGCTGCTAGCCAGGTGGCTTGCCTAGGCCTGGAGATGGGAGCTCCCTTGTTAGGGAAGTCCTATGGCTGCTGGGGGAGGGGGGAGACCAGGGGGATATAAGGGTGGGGGTTGGGCATTGAGCACAGGATTTCTTTGTTCAGAGTACAGTGAAGCTGGGTGGGAAGTGAGGCAAGGGATGGCCTAACCTGTGTGCCTGGTTGCACTTGGCAGTCACAGGCAAAATTTTCACTGCAGTCTAGGGAGGTCTGAATCACTGTGCATCACCCAGGCAGCACAGTAATACACACCAGAATCACTTTCTTCCAGATTTCGGAGCACAAACTTACAGCTCCTCCCTGGGCCTTCATAAACATGGTACTTCTCTGAACTGATTCCCTCATCCACCACAAACTTTGAGCTGGAGAACTGGTAGTAGAGAAGCCGGCGTGGGGCCATCCCTTCCCGGAATTGGTACCAGTGGACGTAGTTGATGTTTTGATTAACAATGTCACAAGTGATTGCAACATACGACCCAGGCTGCTTGGTGATTGACATCATTCTCCCTTCCAAGTTGGAAGATATCTGAGTGGCTGTGACGAGAGCAACAAAAATAATGAGGACGAGGTAATAGTAATTCCTTAGTATGGCCTCCTATTGCCAAAAGAAAAAATCCCACGAGCATCATTGCAACATACTTACCAGGAGCCAGGAAAGCTAGAAAAAGAGCAGAAATCCGCAGCATGTCTTCCTTTTCTGGGCCTTAGAAGGAAAGGGACCAGATGATAAGAGGAGCAGAATTCCCTCTCAAAGCTCAAATCCTACTCAAAAAGAAAGAGATCCCTTGGACAGAAGGCAGTGACTAGAACTGGGCTTTGGGACAGATGTTACAGGCATTGGAAGCAACTGAGGATCTCTCTTAGAAGACGACCAACCTAATTACCCAGAGTGGGTGGGTGCTGGGGGAAGCCAGGGGAGGGGCCCTGCCTCTGTTCCAACCCACTTCTTGAGTGTCCTCCCGTGGCAGGCCGAGAGTGCGCCCTCTCCAGACAGGAAACCAGGAGCCCTGAGAGCCCAGGACCACAAGCAGACGGAGTGCCCGCACAGAGCACATGGAGGGAGGAGAAGCTGCCTCTCCCCAGTGGAGTGAGAAGTCCTAAGTCAGCCTACATTCCCCGAAATTCCGAGTTTCAGTGTTAATGCTTCTGCCATGGTCTTGTCTGGCAGTACCACATCTTTATTCTTGCCCTGAACCACCTCATATTTACTGATGTAAGTAAACTTGGAGGCAACCAACAGCAAATCTGATAAGCACTGAACCACTTTATTGAAAGAAATTAGGATCAGT